ATTAGTTATAATTACTATGAACCTACTTTTGCCCACCCCTGTATACTGTGGGATATACAAATTGTGTATATCAATTTATTGGTTAAAGGACATCTGAACTCAAGTTTTTCCAGTTTTCAGCGATTACGAACAAAACTCCTATGAATATGCAAACGAATCTTGGGTCGATATATGTTTTTATTGTTTCTGGGTATATAGCTAGGGGTAAAACTGCTGGCTGGTATGGTAAGTGTGTATTTTAATTTGTAGGAACCTGCCATGCTGTTCTGCAAAGTGGCCGTGCTATTTTGCATTCCTGCTGGCAGTGAAGGAATGTTAGAGCTGTTCCACATCCTTGTCAGTGCAAAGCATTATCAGTCTTCTAAATTTCAGCCCTTCTACTGGGTGCATAGTAGTACCTCACTGCCAATGGAATTTGCATTTCCCCAATGATTAATGACGTTGAGCAGCATTTCATGTGCTTAACTGTGTATCTTCCTTGGTGAAGTGTCTCTTTAATTGATTTGCACATTTTTAATAGGGTTATATATCTTCTTAATGAACTTTAAGAGTTCTTCATGTCTTCTAAATAACAGTCCTTTATCAGATAAATGTTTTGCATATATTCAGTCTTTAGATTGCTTTTTTCACTTTAAGAGCATTTTTCAAAACAAATGTTTAAATTTTTGATGCAGTTTACTATTTCTTTCTCTTATTGTTCTTGCTTTTGTGTCTTAAAGATCCTTGATTAACCCAAGATCATTGAGATTTTTGCCTGTCTCCTAGAAACTTTATAGTTTCAGCTGTTGCACTTCAGTCTATGATCAATCTTGAGTTAATTTTTGTATAGACTGTGGAAGGAAGGTCAAGTTTTGTTTTTTTTAAATGTAGTTATCCACCCTGGCCAGTGTGGCTCAGTTGGTTGAGCACTGTCCCATGGACCAAAAGGTCATGGGTTCAATTCCCATTAAGGGCACATGGGTTATGGGCTCTATTCCCAGTAGGGGGTGTGCAGGAGGCAGCTGACTGATGTTCCTCTCTCTCTCTCGCTCTCCCTTCCTCTCTCTCTCTAAAAATCAATAAAAATCTATTTTTAAAAATGTAGCTATCCAGTTATTACAGCACTGGTTTCTGAAAATATCATTATTTCCCATAACGAATTACCCTTCGTGCATTAGTCAAAAATCAATTGTTTATGTCTGTGCAGGCCTATATTGGAACTCCCTATTCTGTTGCATTAATCTATATTTCTATCCTTATGCCTAAACAAGACTGTTGTGATTAGTCTAGCTTTCAGGCAGTAAAAGTCTCCAACTTTGTTCTTTTTAAAAAATGTTTACTTCTACAAAAAAAAAAAAGAGAACCTTCTGAGATTTTCACTGAGATGGTGCTTAATCTGTAGATTTGGGGCGAAACTGAAATCTTAACAATATTGAGTATTCTGATCCATAAACATGGTCTATTTCTTCACTCATTTAGGTTGTCTTTATTTTCTCTCAGAAGAATTTTGCTGAAATATTTAATATATTATGACAAGCTATCCTTAAATATTTTTTATGTCATCATGAATGCTATTAAATTTGAATCTTCAATTCTTTGCTATTGCTAGTATATAGGCACAGAATTGATTTCTGGACATCAGCCTATCTGCTGTAACCTTGCTTGACTCACTTATCAGTTATGGTAGCATCTTTTGTAGATTCCTTAGGATTTTCTACATAGATGACCACGTCATCTGTGAATAAAGTTTTACTTCTTCCTTTTAAATCTACGTGTTTTCCATTTACCAATGCACTGAGCCAGGCCTGGGCTTTCCATACCAGGAACACAGAAGGGGTTTGGGCTGACCCACTTCTTCAAAGTGCCTAATATGCTTTTTGACTCATATAAATAATGGAGGATTGAAAAACATATATCTGCTTGGAAGTTATCGTATTAAAATACTTGTATCATGAGGTCTCTAGTGTGTTAAAAAATGGCATATTAATGGGGTCTTCATTAGAACTATTAGTTCATAAACCCTGCTATAGCAACTCAAAGTTTAATAAAATAAAGCAGACTAAGAGGTCAGATAAAAGGCGATTCTCTATGAGTGTGGGTGAAGTCACAGAACTTCACTGAGTGATTTTGATTCATATCCAAATGCTGGCACCAATTTCATATACATTTTCAGGAAATAAATAAAAATCTTGATTTCTAATACTTAAAAGTTAATCACTATCCTAATTTTAATTTTCTCATCACCATTAGCTTATGTTTCTCCTTCCTGGCTCTTCAAAGCCATGAGTTCCAACAAATTCCTCCCAGATCTGTGCTTAGTAGTTAGCAAAATACAAACTAAATTGAATAATTTTTAGATATCCTTTAAAAAAATAAATTTTAGTAACCAATGAATGTGGTAGCTAAGTACCAATGAATAAGAAATATAGAGCCACACATATTTTTAATTCTCAGTTGGAAACAGTTCATTAAACCTACAGGTCTAGGTTTTGGATCCTGTTTTTGTATTAATACTTTATGAAGAACTACCATATAAAAAAATTCAGGGGACTGAAATATTATTTTTAATAAGTTAAAATCGAGAAAAGACTTTTTTCCTTACATTCAATTAATTAAGATCCTGGTTTACAAAATTTCAGTCAATTAAAAGACACAGGGTTAAATAATTTGGGGGAACAAAGAGGCTAAAGTCCCATTTTGATATCTAGATTTTTGCAAAGTGAACTGGGAAATAAGATGTATGCCTTTATTTTTATTTTTAATTTATCTTTATTATTGAAAGTATTACAGATGTCCCCTTTTTTCCTCCACTGACCCCTTCCAACTCGCTCCCACCCCCCCCTCCCCAGGCCTTCACTGCACTACTGTTCTGTGCCCATGGGTATGCATATATACATGTAAGTTCTTTGGTTAATCTCTTCCCACCACCCCCGTGTCCCCTCTGTGATTCATCTGTTCCATGTTTCCATGTCTCTGCATTTATTTTGTTCATCAATTTATTTTGTTCATTAAATTCCACATATAAGTGAGATCCCATGATACCTGTCTTTCTCTGACTTCTTTCACTTAGCATAGTACTCTCCAGGTCCCTCCATGCTATCTCAAAGGGCAGGAGACCCCTCTGTTTTACAGCTGCATAGTAAGATGCATGGCTTTAAAAAAGGAAAGTAGAATGTCCTATAACCTCAAAGTCAAAAAAGTGGAATGAATGGTTAGTACACCAGGAAGAAGTGATAACTAGGGGATAGTGAGGTCAAGGAGTACTTCCTGGAGGGGAAAGAATCTGAAATATGTTCTTCAAGATAAGAAGGTCCTAGTGTATTTTGAACATAAAAAATGGCATAGAGAAAGGCATGAAAAACAGATTCACAAATCACATTCGAAGGATAACAACCACATTATTACTGACTGCACCAGACCATGAACATAGGAAGAGGTAAGCGATAAGATCTGGTAATGAAAGATCTTTAATACCAGGATAAAGAACCTGGATTCTGCCCAGAGTGAAGGGCTACTGCAGGTTAATGAAGAGGAAAGAGACATGAGGGATGCAGAATTACCATTTCAACCCACAGGTCTTAGTTGTACTACTAGAGTTACACAGAATGAATCAATAGCTTTTTCCAATAGCCCTTCATATATTTGGAGTTTCAAAAAAGGAGAGAATGAAATCAGGGAGACCAGCTGAGAAGCTGTTGGCCATCTGTACAAGGCTTGAAATGATAACAGCACAAAATTACGAAGAGGAAGAAAGAAATGACTATGATTACATCTAACTACAAACTTTTTTCCAACTGAGAAATGTTTTCATAAGTTGAATGCGTATCTTATTTCACTTTTAAATTCACTTTAAAGCCTAATGGGCAGCTTCAAAACCAAGTCCTATACTGACACAGGAAAATAGTCTCAACAGACAGCAATCTCCAGAAAGACAATCTCGTCTACTGAGGGGACAGTATGGTTTGTCCTGTGCTCTTCCCAATTATTGTACATACTTTCTCAGGACCATGAGTACCCTTGAAGCATAAATACAGCACCCATAAAAGCCACTGGGGTTGCATTTCTTAAACATTTTCTTCAGCATTAACGGGTGCTTTCCAACTGAAAAAGTTTAAATTCTAGAACTTAAACTCACGCTTGTGCAACATAAAATATGCTGCAATGAAATCATAACTTTACCCTCTTTAGATCAATTAACTCATCAATATTTTCAGAACATTTGGTCATTTCATTTTGATGACAACACTAAAACACCTTCATAATTATACATACTAACTAATGTCCCCTTATGTGTTCCTTCATAGAATGTTTGGGAAAGTATAACGCATAAGCAATATTTATTTAAAAATAAGTACCCTATGACCAAATAAAACAAATTTCAAATTTTGACCTTATTTGGCTCAGGTACAATTTTCAGAAGCCCAGGCTTGGATATAATTTCCAAGGTCCAAAAGAATGTACCCTCTGTCCTGTTAAAGTTGGAATAGCTATAATTTACCAAAGAGTAGTCTTGCCTGTTTCTTTAAAACAATAAAAAGGTTTTTAAAAATGCATGTATTAACCTCAAATCATTCAGCCTGTTTGTCTAAATAACATGTTTCATTGGATATATGTGTAATCATTTCAATTACAATTTACTGTGTAACTGGTTTTATTAAAAGGATTTGAGGCCTAAAGTCATATTTATTGAGACTACAACTAGAAATTCTATCTTCCTAGCATTCTTATTGTATTAGCAATAAAGCACACTAACATAGCTCAATAATTAGCCATACTGATTCACACTGCACACCACATATCTTCTTGTATTTCTAGACTACTATAAGTTTTGGTTTTAAATTACATTCACATGAACTAATTACAATAAAGAAAAAATTAAAAAGTAAAGGCAAGTTTTTAGCACTTAGATTAGATAAAATTCTCATTGTAATTACATATATTTATAGTTATAATCATGGAGAACTTAAATTTAACAGAATATCATGTAACCAAATTGTACATATCTGAAGCCACAAGTTTACCTGACGTTGCCCTTGGTGTTCCTGAGAACTGTCGCAGCAAAATTCTGCGTGACACCCACCAAGCTGATGCCATCCACTTCCACGATCTGGTCATTGACCTGAATTCTTTGGGAAGAGGGAAAAAATTACCCACAATTAATTTTTACAATAACACTTTACCATAAATGAGTTGACAAAACATTTGATTTTTAAGATATTCTTATTGATACAAAATTTGTCTTTTATATATAAGTTCTAGATCTTATTCAAATGCTTAATGTTTTTAAAAGATCATTTTGAAAAACAGAAATAAGCAATACTAAATGAAGAGATCCAGTTTAGCCAACATCCATATTCCTATCACAGAGTCGGTAACTGTCAATGTATCACGTACTTATATCTTTTTTTTGTCTTTAAAAATCACTTAAAACATAACAGATCCAGTTGAAATACACTTTGGGCCTCATATCTACTCTGACCTCTCCTCTCTAAGGAAAAACCACAAAAAGAATTGCAGGGAATCCTTCATATATGTAAATTCATACACACACACACAGAGGTGTATATGTGTGTGCATATATATTATTTATGGTTAGGAGCAATATACAGTATTAGTCTTGTTTAGTGTATAATGCTTTTAAATTTATATACATATTTTATATATATTTTTTTATTCTTCATAATAAAGTATTTCAATCATGAAAAAGTGCCGATGGAATTAGATAATAAACACTCACGTACCCAACCTTATCAAATCTTACCACTATGTAATATTTGAGTCAGTTTTTTCCTAAATAAATTTATTACAGAAAAGCTGAAGTCCCTTTATTACTTGTCCCTAATTCTATTCCATTCACTGCTTCCACAGAGGTAACCATCATACTGATTTTTATGGTTAGCCTTTCTATTGATGTTTTGAAATGGAAGTAACATGTGTGCATGAATAGGCATAATATGTGTACATTTCCAGTTTTCAAACTTCATCGCAAATCTCTTTTCTACAAATTAGTTTGCTTCACTCAATATTATATATGAGATTTATCCATGGTTATAAGTACAATTTTAGCTAGTTCATTTTAACAACCGTATGGTATTATTTTTATGAATATACCAAAACATAGTCATCCATGTTTTTGCAGATGGACAACTGTATTGTTTTAAGTTTTAGCAATTATGTGTATTGCTGTAAGAACATATTTCATACACGTCTCTTTACACACACGTATGAGTTTCTCCAGGATATATATACCCAGAAATAGAACTCCTGAGTCAAAAAACAGAGGCATTTTCAACTTGAACAAGTTGACAAATTTCAGTTCAAAATGCTTACACCAGTGCATATTCTCAGCAGCACTACATGAAAGGTTCTGACTCTCCACACACTCACCAACACTTGGTACACTCAGACCTTTTACATACTGCAGATCTTGTCAGTGTGAAAAGACATCACATTGTGATTTTGACTGCATTTCCCTGATTACTTATGTGGTTGAATGTATTTTCTTATTTTTAAGAGTCAACTGTTGACTTTTGCACACTATTAGATTATGTCTTTTACCCATTTTTGTTGATGCTGGGTTATGTCTTTTTTTTCTTATTGGTTTATATGTTTTCATATATTCTGCATACTAACACTGTTTCAATTAGATATGTGGCAAATACTTTTTCCCCAATCTGTAGCATGTCTTTTCACATTTCTTTGGAAAACAGTGGTTATGAGGAAAACAATTTAAATAAAAATACATAATTACATTTATAATTTTAGCTTTATATTAGGTAGTTTTTGTGTTTTGTTTAAGAAATCCCTTTCTGCTTCAAGATTATATAAAATTATTCTATACTTTCTTCTAAAGGTTTTAGCATCTTGTTTTTCTGCATTTAGTTAGTTATCTATCTAGAAATTATTTTTATTTTTATTTGTTAGCAATCTATTTTAATTTTTTCCAAGTATATAAATGATCGGCTTAACAACATTTAAGAAAGAGTCCCTTTTATTCCACTGATTTGTAATGGTTTTCAAATGTGCATCAACTTGCTTTGGATTCTCTATTAGTTCCTTCTGGTCTATCTCTGCATACTATATGGCTTCATAATTAGTTTTGAGATTTCACAGGGCAATCTCCTTTACCTAGTTCATGGCCTTCAAAAATTTGAGCTATTTTTGTGCTTCTCTTTATAATTAGCTTTGGATTTACTTGCCACGTTCTATAAAAACACTTGCTGTTGTAGTAAAATTATACTGACACGGTGACAGAAGATATCTGACTTTGGGTGATGGGCACACAGTGCAATATACAGGTCTTGTGATACAGAAATACACACCTGAAGCCTACATGATCCTATTAACCAATCTCACCCCAATAAATTTAACTTAAAAATATACTGATTTTTAAGATTAATTTATGGAAAAATGTTTTCTTTATCATGTTGACTCTTCCCATCAATAAAAATGAGTGCTACTATAATTATTCTGGGCAAGTGGCATGTATATCATGTTGTGCCATGTGTTATGCAAAATTATTTAAAGCTTAGAAACAGAAATAAAAGGAGAGTGACATTTCCTTTCAATGTTGTATAGGTATATTATTTATCAGGCCCAACCAAGGATAATTTGGGGGAATGTATTTTAATTGATCCACCATTTAAAATTGATTAAAAATCCTGGACATATTGTAAATTGCATGTTAATTTGTAGATTTTTGTCCTGAAAAAATGCAGACACTTTTCTTCTGTTAGAAAAGATAATCCCAAAGTCCATAGTTTATTTCTCCGTAGAATACTAACCAGTTTTGTATCAAACTTGCAATGTTATTCCAATATTACTTTATTAACTTGACTTTAAATGCCTACTCCTAAAATGTTCTTTGAACTACATTTACCATTTCCCTGATTCTCTTAATTAGTGAGTTGAATACAGTTTGACACATGTTCATTTTATATTTATGAAAGTCATCTTTTTAACTCCTTGACTATTAGCCTATGATGGATTTGAAGGTTCCACCAAGATGCCAGAGTAGATTCACAAAGCCAATTCAACTGTATCGCCACAGAAATGCACCTCATCTAAGACCAGCCACATCTTAGCTTGGTCTCCAGAGTGATTCTAGAGCAGCAATAGAATTCTATCTTTGCTACTACATTTTTTCCAATTTAGTACTCTTGGTTTTTTCCCCTGGTTCTTGGCCAATTTAGGTCTGGATCCAGTTTGTACCAGATAACAACAATAAATAATTTCCCACTGGTAGCAGCAATGATTGGGAATGCAATTTTAGAACCTGACCATTCAAGACCTCTACTGGGATTGATTATAGGGATCTATTATCATTACCTATTATCATGTGAGAGATGCTAAAAAATCTGAGTTGCTATCCTTTAATTTATCTATTTGTGAGCTCAAAGTATTTCATTTAAAAATTTAATGGACACTAGAAAGGAAAAGAGCCCTTGGAAATCCTGACCAGAGCGTTTCTGTGTTTCTTTGATCATTTAACCTGTTTCTGAGGTTGCAGAGATGAAACTACAAACTCCCTGGTGGCTGTAACTGAGAGAAGCCATTATGTCTCAGTGTGTGCACATGAAGTATGTTTCTAACCTAGGAGGGTATTTAATAAAGAAGTGATAATCTAATCGGTTCATAGAGAATACTAAGCACTTTCATAACTCTTATATTCTGGTATATAATGAAGACTTTAAATGAGCTAGACACTTAAGAAAAAAATGCTTTTTAAAAACTGCTAGAAGCTCAGAAATATTTTTTATAAGAGCCCAAATTCACATTATAAAAGCGAGTCTTTGAACAATAAATAAAAGTATTAATTTTGGTTTAAAACACACAGCTTAAAACATGATTTCCAAGATATCTAGTTATCTCCAAAACCTTGGTCATAAAACACAGCTTTTAATACTATATATGAGAAGCACTCTAAAATTTCTTTCAAAAAACAAAAGCTCAAAATCCTGTGTACTAATTCCCCCTCACCCATTACATTTTTTTGAGAAAATGTCTTTTTGGCTTTGACTTAGAGATTACAGATCCTTGAATCCAAAAGATTGAGTCCAGTTATGTTATGGTTATACATATATGTGTCTTTAATAAAGAACACGTAACTGAAATGCTTCAGTCTAAATGAAAATTTTTTAGTCCACTGCCACAGTCACTATCATCAATTATCAATTAGCATGTGCTGATTTTAGAGAATATTTTAAAGTTATAAATGTAATACATGTTCAAGGTTAAAAATTTGGAAAATGTGGAAATACATAAAGAAAAAAATAAAAATCTCATGTAATCCAACCAACCAGAGCTGACCACTGTTAAGATTATGCTGGTAAATTACCTTCCAAATTATTTGGTTTTTTTCCTTACTTAACAAAATTAGGATCATTTAAATATATAGTTTTGTGGAACTTTATACTTTTATTCATCAAGATAATATTTGTTGAGTGCTTTCTCAATGTCAGGCAATGTGCTATGCTCTTTATTATTGTATCTTATTTAATCCTGCTAATAGCCCTAATTAAATATATTATTATTATCATTATTACTTCTGTTTTACATATAGGGAAGCTTTGGCTCCTCCTATACAGTCATAGTAAATAAGTGGTAGAGCCCAGCTATGAACCTAGGATATATGACTCCAGAGCCTATACTTAAATAATACATTATATCACACTATTAAATACTATTCTACAACAGACATTAAGGATATATCATGCCGTAGTTTTATATATGTAAACCACTTGCATACTGTTATACTAGTATGTTGTTTCAAGGTGTTTCTTTGAAATCACTTCCTAGGAGTGGGATTATGTGTCAAGGTATATTACATTTTAAATGCTGCTAAACTGCCCTTCAGAAAGGTTGTCCAGTTTGTTTGTACTCTCCCTAGCAGTGTTACAAAGTAGTCTACTGCACCCACATTAAAACTTAATATTGTGTTATAAAATATTATAATAACTTGGTAAGTGAAACATTATTTTTAACTTTTAATTTCTTGTCTTTGAGCCTCTTAAGATGTTTACTGGACACTTATATTTCTTTTTTTGTAAATTATTTCAGTTTGCATTTTTCCTGTTAAATTTTTTACAAATATGTTATCATCTGTTCTTTTAATGCTAATTTCCAC